AAGTCTGTATTTATGAGCCTGGGGAAGGGTGCCAGCGATCGAACCTACACCCTTGACAGCCAGACGCTATATCCCACACCCTCCGTGAAGGATTTAGGTGTACTCTCACGCTACGATTTGAAGTCCGTGGACAACACGAACAAGCTATATCGTAACGGACTACGCATGCTTTGGGCGCTCAAACGTAGCTTCGGCACATTGTCTGAAGAGGTTGCCACTCGCCTGTTCTCTTCTATCATTAGACCAATGCTAGAGTACGGTTCGCCCGCCTACTTTCCGATTACCCGAGGCGAGGCACAAAAGATCGGACGGGTCCAACACGTTGCTACCAGGCTGATCCCGAGTTTACGTCGCTTTGGGTATGAAGACCGGTGCGAGAAACTAGGATTCTACACCTTGTCCTACCGTCGGGTGCGAGTCGACCTCATTATGACCTACCGTATTCTACATCTCGGTGACTTTCCCATGTTCAGGCCAATGCTGCACTTAGGAGGGTCATGCACCACACGCAGACACAGATACGAACTTGTCGTACCGGATGTGAAATGTGTTCCCCACCCACTGTGCTTCGAACGGAGAGTGGTAAACATTTGGAACAGTTTGCCTGAACATGTGATTGAGGCATCATCTGTGCAACAGTTCAAAACGTTGTTAGATTTATATTTTGCCACTATTCGATTCAGAGAACGACTGCACACTTATGCTAACATATCACATTTGTGAATCCTGAAATATCGTAAGTCGAATATTTTAAATATTACATGAGAACGACAATGGTATTCACGGTTGACAACTTTTATAACGTTTTTCACCATATTTCGAAAGAGTTGTACAGAATCCATTTCTACAGTATTCAGTATTCAGACTGACTGGCACTCGTGAAAGCCAGATTCGTGAAGAGCAAACCGGATTTGATCGAGGTCGGGGCTGCATCGACCACATCTTCACCTTGCGTCAACTGTTGGAGCACCGCCATGTTTATTGGCGACCCACCGTTGTCGTGTTTCTTGACATAAAAGGTGCCTTCGACTCAGTCGCTCGATGTGCCCTTTGGGCCTATCTGCTGAGGAAAGGTGTGTCTGTTAAATATGTAAACATCAAAACGCTGTACGCGCATAGTACGGGCAGAGTGATGATTTATGGCAAACTGTCGCCACCCTTCAGTATAACCAGTAGTGTGAGACAAGATTGTCCGCTGTCACCTTTCCTCTTTAACTTTGCTGTTGATGAAGTTATGGAAACAGCGTTCGCTGGACGCGACCTAGAAGGTGTGGAGCTACTTTCTGGTGAGCAACTATCCGTTCGACCCTACTCGGCAGATCGACAGACATAAAGAGGCTAGTCACGTTCGACCACCAGTTCCTTCGCAGCTTAATTTCCTGTTTGCCCCAGGAAGAAGAACGAACCGCCCAATCACATGTGCATCCCAACACCCGCAGCGTACTAGTTTGCGCGGCCCGGGTGTGGATGAGTTTCTTTCTCCCATTCCATCTCACTTGGTCTCCCCTCTAACCGCACTTCTGTCACCATAGCAATCTGTAGGAAGAGTATCAATATCCCCTATTTTCTGTTGTTATTTTTGCCTCTTCATTTTTACTCTTATTTAATTGTATTGTTTTACGCCACGATAACTACGATGTTCCTCACTCTTGGGTAACGAGTGCATTGATGATGATTAGGTTAGATGCACTTGTTGACACCATGAAAAACCGATCTCAGTAACATTTATGTTGTGGGTTACTCTTTCCCTCGCCATCTAGCTTTGCTTCTTCATTCTCGATGCTTACTAAAAACAACAATTTTATGCCTTTTACGATAATTTCGTTCGTTCGTTCGTTTATATATATATATATATATATATATATATATATATATATATATATATATATATATACGGAGCACATATATAATATTCACAGTCTGTTAACAGACATTGTGCTATCAGAACCATGGCAGCAGATAAAAGTGAAGAAGATGGGAACACGAACTGCGATTAAAAAATACGCCAAACTGATTTTTTTGGTTTTACACACGACCTTTTGTATTTTTGGTTTTCACTAACCAAAATGTCACAGTCAAGACCATGGCAACCGAATTGATTGTCTCAAGAGTTTCTGTGCACATAGCACAGGTTGACATGTCTTAATTTACAACGCCTCACTAATTATCGGGTTTTTGTCACGTAATAACACTTTGAACGCTGTCTCGGGGTTCACATGATGATGGGTGTCATGAGGTGCTTGATGATAGACGATGCCGGGCTCCGATTGATTCTCAGATTCGTTCCATGTTGTTGCGTAATCACTTGTCCCAACCACTGGCAAATGTTCAGCTACCCTCTGAGTTAACTGACGGTTTGTTCTGCTTATGTAAATGTCACCGCAACCGCAGGTGAACTGATAAACAACGTGAGAGGCCGAACTACCCGATGAGATGCTCTGACGGTTATGAAGAACAAGTGCTCGCGTGGTATGCCTGAGTCGCAACTGGGCTGTCGTGTAGGTTCGCGTTAGGGCAGACCGGAGCTTGCGTCCGATATCATTTGCCACATGGTTCCCTTTGAACGCCAAGAACAAATAAACATCCTTTTTCTCAGCCGTTAACCCCGATGTTTTCACGCTGGGAGGTCTGTTGTGTACCTGAATAAACTCCTCAGGATATCCAGTAAAAATAAAGATCTTGCGCAGAAATTCTTCTTCGGCTTGTAACGTTTCGGGGCTGCAAATACGTCTAGCCCGGTAGAAGAGAGTTCTCACTAAGCCGCGTTTATATGCGATGGGGAGAAGCTTGAAAAATCAAGGTACTGTCCAGTCCAAATCGATCTGCGGTTATCAGTTTTAGCAAACATCTTCCTCGGCCTGATAGAAAGGCAAGTTGCTGCCAGTATTGGTTAAACGAAATTGTACAGACGATATGTGGATGACATTTTAGTCTTCACCAGCGGAGAACATTTTAACCGGCTGCTGACCATCCTAAATTCGATTTCCCCTAATCTTTCGGTATCCCATGAAGTGGAACAACACAATTGCCTGGCGTTTTTGAATATACTCATTAGGAGACGGGCGGAAGGTACGTTGCAGCGCGCTGTTCACCGCAGATCGATTTGGACTGGACAATACCTTGATTCTTCAAGTTTCTCCCCATCGCATATAAACGCGGCTTAGTGAGAACTCTCTTCTACCGGGCTAGACGTATTTGCAGCCCCGAAACGTTACAAGCCGAAGAAGAATTTCTGCGCAAGATCTTTATTTTTACTGGATATCCTGAGGAGTTTATTCAGGTACACAACAGACCTCCCAGCGTGAAAACATCGGGGTTAACGGCTGAGAAAAAGGATGTTTATTTGTTCTTGGCGTTCAAAGGGAACCATGTGGCAAATGATATCGGACGCAAGCTCCGGTCTGCCCTAACGCGAACCTACACGACAGCGCAGTTGCGACTCAGGCATACCACGCGAGCACTTGTTCTTCATAACCGTCAGAGCATCTCATCGGGTAGTTCGGCCTCTCACGTTGTTTATCAGTTCACCTGCGGTTGCGGTGACATTTACATAAGCAGAACAAACCGTCAGTTAACTCAGAGGGTAGCTGAACATTTGCCAGTGGTTGGGACAAGTGATTACGCAACAACATGGAACGAATATGAGAATCAATCGGAGCCCGGCATCGTCTATCATCAAGTACCTCATGACACCCATCATCATGTGAACCCCGAGACAGCGTTCAAAGTGTTATTACGTGACAAAAACCCGATAATTAGTGAGGCGTTGTAAATTAAGACATGTCAACCTGTGCTATGTGCACAGAAACTCTTGAGACAATCAATTCGGTTGCCATGGTCTTGACTGTGATATTTTGATTGATGGTGCTTATTTTTTCCATGTATATGATCCCTTGTGTGTTTCTGCTCGTATTTTTTGTTTTGTGGGTTTTTGTGTGCATCAAAGGGTTGATAAAATGGCAGAACAAGATTGACGCCACTGATGTCTTTTGCGGTCCATGACGTCTAATGTTTCCAATCACTGCGGTTCAGCATCTCGTGGTCCCCAACCTGGAAAATGGACTGGTCCGACTGCCGCCAAATTTGAGGTTGCCTTCTTCATGCTCCTTCTCCACGTCATTGACTGTCCACCGCGGCACTTTTTCCAATCGCTCCCTGGGCGTGCAAATAGCGCTCGACGTGGAAGGCGATGGGCTGGCATACGCAGAACGTGCTCCACATGCTTGTAACCAACTTCCTTGGGGTATATTGTTTGCCAGTCTTTTTCTCAGTTTTGTAAAAACTATCTAAGATATCAAATGCTGCGCAATCATAAAGCCAATGGTGCTGATGCGTTCGATACCCTTCTGATCACCTCACCATTTTGTTGCGTTTAAAATATTCCTCTTGTTTCCATTTTTACCACTTATATCAAAGTATTCACATACAACGCGCTTCAGTGCATGGATCACGGTTGATTATCTGAAATGTAACGGTATCATCACTGTATTGCTTTTCTTTCATGCAATTGCCACCGGCTATATTCTGGCTGGGGCCATGCAGAAACGCCAAAACCGGTGCGAATACTCGGCTCGCGTCATTGAAGTTGCAAGTCAGACATCAGGACAACTCCGCCACGTATTACCGATCCCGGTTATGCCGGTTTTGTCCTACAGTCGTTCGCGTGTTGGCACACATGTACTACAACAGAAGCTGCAACATTCATGCTTTATCTTCGCTTCATCTTTATGCGTATCGGATCACTTATTCCTAAACCACTAACTTCGTGTAAATCCACTGCTTCTTGCTATCAACTTGTTATCCACCTATTTTCTCATCGAATGCATTGTGGTTCAAAACTTTTCGAATATTTCTATCTTACCCGGCAAGTTTGCGGGTTTGCCTTTCCAACCATCTCTGCTTTGTCGCTTGATTTCCCTAAATCCCTTAACTTTTTTCCACCTCAATAACTCATTCTGATATGATGCATGTACTCCTTTTTTGTCGCCTTCTTGGTGCAGGGTCAAAGTACGAGGTCTGCCGGCGCTAGTTCTACCCCTCGAGAACAGGCAAGCACTGAAGCAGTCGCCAACGCTCCTCGGCCTGCCGTACCTACTACATCACCGCTTGGTTTAGGCGGTCTTCACCACGTGTTTAACACTGGGGGTAAGATATTCTACTCAGATTTCACATATCACGTAGTCTTTTATGTGTCTACTCAGCGCTCGCAAGCTCGCTCAACGTAGTATCTCTGTCTGAACACCCGCGGTGTCTGTTATCCTTGTTTGCTCCTGTATTCTCACCTAGCTGAAACCCAATTCACCTAAAACGGATTGGCCTCATTCCATTTATGTTACACCAAAAAACAATTGCAGCATGTGTTCTCTGAAGTCTCCATTCCTTCTCATGAATCGAAATCCTAACCAGTTGTCCAATCTTCTCATTGTTGTGTCATTTTCTGTTTTACTCCTCAACGTGAAGCGTGATTTGTAAATGTTCCACTCGAGCAGATCGCTAGCTTTGGTAGACTACTTTTGCCTATGATGAACTTTTACTGAGGAGGATTGTGTGTCTGGGTATCGCGAAGTTTGATAATCTAATTGCATACCGATCCGCTTGATATAAGGTATGGCATCCACGCTGCTTTTGCATTCACTCCAGAGGTTATTTGCTACCTCTATTTTTTGCAATGCTGGCCCGTAGCCTGAAGGTAACAAGCTTGTTTTGTAATCTGACGGCGCGAGTTCGAGCCTGTGTAGGGACAGAGCGACCCTTGCAGTATCCTTAGCCTACGTGCAACCGGTGGTGGTTGCGCCGCAGCAAAGCATCGGTACTGCGTACCGGCGTACTGCTGCTGCCTTTTTACCACAGTGAGGTGAGACTGGGCAACTCATTTTTTGATGCTCAGCGTTAACCGACTTAGCCATTTTTCGAAACGCAACTGTCAGCTTGCTTTAGTGATAAGTGACTACAAACTTGTACCAGCGTACACATTCCGGCTTTCATCTTACGCTAGCATTGCCTGGTATTACCAATTTTCATTACTTTATGTTTTGCGCAACCGACAACATTAACATGTAAGCTTTAGTTTATCGTGCTTCAATTGCCTGTTGATGAACCATAGTGCTAGCGTGCACGCTCCTTACTTTGGTTTCGCGAACACGGTTTGTTCGTTTTTTTGTACCCATATATACCTTTATTTATTTATTTAGAATCACTGAAATGTAACAAGGAATGGAAATTTGCACAACGATGTCAAACAATAATGAATGATAACTAAAGAAATTTTTGTCTTTTAACGCACCGTTTTTTCCTTTTTTCTGATTTTAAAAGTTATTACTTTTGAGATCGGAAGTCCACACAGACTTGCACGTATTGTTTCCACTGCAACCGGTTTTGTGCCTTTGTTTCGTGTGTTATAAACCATTGGTCCCCAAATGGTATACCGAACCAGCAATCGATAAACAGCATGTCAGCGATTTAATGCTTTGTCGCGAAGCTGGCCTCTCCCGGCCTCTTCTAATGCAATCTTGCATGCACAAATAGGGCGTGGTGTGGCAGCCGCTTGCCAAACATGCGTAGGATGTGGCCAATCCATCTCAACTGCCGCAAACTCGTTGCCAATACATCAAACAAATGTCAGTTTTCTGATGTCGTCTTTCTCCAACTCAGTCTTACGATTAGTTGTCAAACTTGTTTGAAATTCTCCGTTTTTTTGACTTACAACCCAAAGGCTCTAGCTTTCCCCTGGCTAGCTAGGAACACTTTCTCGCTACCTTGTCTTTACGTTGACACGGCGGACGTGGATCCGATATTGTGCATTGTTCCACTCGACAATCAGCGTTGTTATTTGTCTTGCTTACTGTTCCAATTTCCACTTTCTACGTATATATTGCCTCACATTCATATTGCGTGTCACACTTGCTGCTATTTTCTATTCTTATTTACATTCCGCTTTTACTTTCATTGACCCACTTTTAATACCAGGTCATTATGCCACTTTAAACGCTCATCCCCGATAACTTTTCCCCACAGGAAATTCGTTTTCTAGCATGCAACAGAGTGTACAAAATGAAATCCTACAAAACCCAGAACTCCTCCAGAATATGCTTGAAAATCCAATGGTTCAGTCACTCATGAGCAATCCCGAGGTTATCCGCAGTCTGTTTCAAGCAAATCCCCAAATACAAGAGCTTATGGAAGTGAGTGCACGTGCTTGTGAAATTTGTCTCGACTTCTCCCAGCCCCGCAGATTGAGTTATGTTATGGTGCGGCTACGAAGTATACTAGAATTTATGGCTATTGTCCTTTTGCACCGATTACTAAGCGCTCTCTAAATGATTGCTGCGCTTGTCGTTGACACGGGGTAGACATTTACTCAACTCATCTCAGTGTGGTCGGCGATTTCACGTTACCGCTTGTTTGTTGGACATAGTGTTATCGAGCGGGATCTGTATTTCGTTTTAGCGTATTTGTTCAACCGTTACCTAAACATCTAGGTAGATCCTGCTTTCACAACACCAACATGATTTCAAACAGAAGAAACGGATATGAACGTTAGATAGGTGAGACATTCCACTCACGTCAGCAACTAAGGTTTTGGTCTTTGAGACAAATCACTGATCATGGCTCTAAATAGAGCCGTGTATAATATCAGGTACTAAAGCAACCCCGAACTTACAACCGTGCAGCACCGGAAACTATCTCTAATCGTTTATCTGGTCACTAATAAAATCGCCAGTCGACCCTGTTCACAGTCATTTTGTTTATTACTTTTAACATGTCTTTGAAAGCCATCCCGTCGCACCGCTTGACTATGCACGACGTCCGGTTTGAAATGCGAAAAATATGATCTTGCAAGTATAGCTTGGCAATGTAGGTGTAGATGAGCGAATTATTTTGTTTTCCGAGCTGGGCATTTCTGTTACCGACGTTTCGTTGCCTAGCTAGGCAGCATTCTCAGTGCGGCTATTAACTTCTGGTTCGCGGAGTCTCGTAAATCACTGCCAGATCCGACTGACTTGATCATTCCCTTGTTTTCAGCATCAATCTGATGTTGGTCGGCAGAGTGATCACGTCTCCTCCCGATCAACCTGATGCCCATTGCTGACTTAACTCGCAGAGTTTCGTAGACACCCTCTAACTCCAGATGCTTGTTGGTTAACTTCCTGCCCGAATGCCAAACGTCGATGAACTTACCTGCCCTACGATTCCCTGCTCCTCAACGTTCTCCAGAGAGAACTGACGATTCAGCATCCATATGTAGATCTATCGGCAGTTCCTCATCATGATAGCGGATGACCAGACTACGTTCATGCAACGTTGCGCCAAGTCTTCCCTCTCTGGCTCACATAGTACATGTTACCATTTTCCCAGAAAACTTTCCAAACCACTCCTGATGTTTATTCCTTACTCAATCAGTCTTTTACCTTGAAAACTCGTCAAGCTACAGGACCTGATGGTGTCATCCGACACCAGTAATACTTCGTGACTTGAAAGTGCCACAAACCGAAGGAGCCATATTTCAATCCCATAGCTTAGAACGGCCCTCACTGTGGCCTTGTACCCACGGTCTTTCAGACCGAGTGAAACGCTCTTCTGACGCCCGAGGTGTCGCAGATTCAAGGAAGTTGTTATGTCTCGTACAGCACGCGAACTAAGCTCGGCGGTCACGTGCCCCTCGCTACTGGTGCAGCTACCAAGATAGCTGAACTGGTCAAATACCTCGAGTTCCTTGCTACCACGGATCATTGGATCATCATTTGGCTGATAATCCTGTAACAACACTGTAATTTGAACGTACAAAACGTACGCCAAGTGATGAAACCACCCCAGCTAGCTTCTCCACGGTTGACTGGGCCACACCAATAACGACAAGGCAATATCGTCCACATACTCAAGATCAGCTGCGTTTCCACCAGGCAGCATCTCAACCCCTGCATCGTGAGATTCCGGCACAATGGTTGAGGTGTTCGCACCTCTAGATAACATGTATAATGAGTGAATAAATGTCTCGTGAGATTACGCGAGGGAACGTGAAGTCAAACAAAAATGGGGAAATTGGACAATGCTGACGAACGCCACTTGTTGTCAGAAAAACATCAGACAAGTCACCGTAGACCCTGACGCGGACTGGGGTGTTCGAGTACAGCGCAAGTAAAATGTTCACGTATTCCATGGGAACACATTTCATGTGAATATTTTGAACATAATGGATCGACCTACTGAGAAGGACGCACGCTTTACATTCAGGGATACAACTTTTGCCGATCTGCTGTACATGTGACGCTGTTTTAACACCTGCTACCGAGTACATATTTGGTCTGTATACCCTCGTCCTGGGCTGAAGGACGCTTGGTCTTCCCTAATCCATCATTTTCCTGCCGCACTGAGTCGCTGAGCGAGAGTTGAGGTCAGTACTTTTGTCTCCACTGGTGTTAGGCTGATGCCACTGTGATTAGCACAATCACTCCAACTACCTTTTTTGTATGTTGCCACTGTGATCAACTCACTCCGGTTAGTTGGGATGGTCTCTTCCTTCCGAATGACTTCAAGTGGTTCAGTGCTTCACAGAGGACATCAGCACTGTCCTTAAATGGTGCTGGTGCAACGGAGTCTGGACCAGCAGCTCAAAAACAATTAATAGATGTAATCACTTTCTGATCTCAGCCTACGTCTGAGACTCTCAACTAACCTGCCTCGACTCAACCCCCACCACCTGAGTGCTAAGACGTTCTGGAGCCATCATCATCATTACAAATTAGTTGGAAGTGAGAAATATACTTCAACTATTTTGCCGCAGTAAACAAGATAAAATGTACGAACACACACGATACTAAATATAAAGTACAAAATATAGGTAACAAACTGCTTCAAGGCTAAGATCGTGGTTGGAGGTGGAAGATGGAGAGGGACAAAGAAACTCACAACACAAACACCATTGAGGTCTGCTCTTCGCCATGTCAATTAGTGTATCCAACCAAACATTATCCACTTTCGGTCCCCAGTCCGGCAATCGGGAGACACCAACCGACGCCAACTCCGAAGTGAGGGCCTTATTCGCTTAACCTCACCTTCTCGTCCTCTATTCAGACGTTGATCGCGCAAGCAACGCACGTTTTCCTGCACCAGATGCACGACGCCCAAAACTCTTATTGCTCATGCGGTGCTCCCACCAGTCCTGAGCTAAGTTGCGAAGGCAACAATGATCGAACGCAATTGGCCAGTTTCCACAACCGTATAGGAGATTTGAACGGACGAGTGCATTGTAACTTATTCCCTTTAGAGCGGGATTGATGTTGCACCGCTGCTACAGGTGACAGAGACTGACAAATGCGCTTCGATCTTTTGCTATACGGTTTGTGATCTCATCTTCCATTCCAGTGGCATTGCTATAGCTTCTAACTGCTTGAATTTCAAGGCGACTTCTATTTTATCCGCACCAAGAGTCATAGGTACCTCTAAGGTCAACGAACACGACTACGGTGGCTCGCCGGTGGCTCGCTCCAACAATGGGCGCAGTGTGATGGTGTGGTCAATCCAGCTGCGGCTTTGATGAAACCATGCTTACTCCTCTCGCATCTGGTTTTCATGATTGCCAGTAAGTCCATGAAGAGATCAAACCTATCCTTCTGTGATTGACACATTCAGCACGTGAACCCGCCCTAAGAATTGACACTATTATCGAGCGGCTCCAGTCTGCTAGGACAGTTTCCTGTTCCCACAGTGTTATAATCTTCTCACTAGACGCAACTCCAAAATTAACAATTCACTGCTCCACAAACTTCTAGCCCAACCGAAGGAAAAAAGCAAAACGCCAATGACCCTGACCAATAACGTATTAATCGCAGCCAACGAATACTGTACAACGACTGCGGACCTTGGCTGTATTTATAGGTCTCTACTGACCTTCGACTTCTAGAATTGGAAGGTCAGCTGCCGAGGTTAGTGGTTCCCCATATCTTTTGCCGAGAGGTCAGGTGGATTTTGATCACGTGTAGAAGAAGAACATTCAGGAACGTTCGAAATCGATGCGATAATCGTTAATAATCGATTAATCGCTAAAATAGGGAATTTCCAAGGCAATTCTTACTTTCTCCCGGACATCTCCCCTCCTGAGATATGTTCCGAGGTGTACGAGGAAAACCTGGGACTAACTTGCAGTCTTCGGGACGGTGTTCTCTGCCTGTCGGTCCACCTCCTTGGCAGAAGCGCCCGAGAACTTTGTTCCGATGTTCTTGTTCTGGATTCGTTGCTCGACCTTGTGCAGTCTTCCACTGTTACCTTCGGCAGGTTGAAAGTTTCCACCAGTAAATCGAACGGGAGGTCAGTAGGCCTTTCTTGTTCTGGCTGGCACAATGTGGGCCGTAACTGGTTTGCATGCCGCGGCCAGACCTGTGCGCCCACCTTCACGTCATACACGACGTTTCCGCGCTTGCTTTTGACCGTCCCTGGCGTCCATTTCGCATGGCCTTCCCGGTAGTCACGTACTAGCACCTTCTGTCCAAGCGTGAATGATCGCTTCTTTGTTCCATGCCGCCGGTTAAACTCCTGTTCCATTCTGCGGTTTCTTTCACCAACAGAGGACTCCGAGCCCGGTCGGATGGCGTCGAAAGGCATGCGGAGCTTCCGGTTCATCATGGCCTGTGCTGGAGAGACTCCGTCTGGCGCTTGTGGATTCGGTGTTGATCGGTAGAGGAAAAGGAACCGGTCAATCATCTCCTCTATACGTCCCTCCCCTTTTGGTTTGTGCAGAGCTCGCTTGAATGTATCGACAAATCTTTCTGCCTGGCCATTCGACTGTGGGTGAAACGGCGGCGAGCGAACGTGCTGGACGGCGCATTGCTTGCAAAACTCCTTAAACGCTGCTGAAGTAAACTGTGAGCCATTGTCAGTGACCATTGTCTCAGGACAGCCGAATCTGCTAAAGGCTTGGCGCAGTTTCGATATGGTGGCATTGGTGGTTGTGTTATCCATGAGAAATACTTCTGGCCACTTGCTGTATGAGTCGACTGTAATGAGGAAACTTCTCCCGTTGATCGGCCCTGCAAAGTCGACATGAATGCGGCACCACGGCTTAGTAACCATTGGCCATGAACAGAGTTCTGCTTTCGGTGGCGCTTTCAAGACATCGGCACACTTTTGGCAGCGTCTGGCTGTTTCTTCTAACTGTTTGTCCACTAAGGGCCAGTATACATAACTG